CTGTTTTTAATAGTCAACATCCAAATATTAATACCAGCTGTGGAAAGAAAACTGCATATATGTTTTTATAATGAAATAACTCACAGTCAATTATGTATATGTATTGGATAAACTAATAAATCATACGAGAAATGTAAAACACATTAAACCAATAATGTATGATAAACTCGATATATCTAGCGACCACTGACAAAGAGATCTAGAATTCAATTAATACAATCTCACTTGATTCAACCGCTAGAACATTCATTATTTGACGAGGAGAAAACTAAGGCATATATAGACAATTATGAGAGATAGGTCCACTTTGGATTTTAGTTACACTATTCTGATAGAAGTTATGTGGTACAAGTTTTTGACTATACCCCATCTTCATTTTCATCCAATTCATTAATTCATTCATCACTAATTCAACTATACAATATATAAATAAATAAATAAAATAAAAATTAGCAGTCATTAATGCAGCACATGCATCTATTATTACATAAACAACTCATCCCAAATTTATTACTACCAATAATATTTTTACGCTATCTACCACTCCCATCACTATAATATCATAGAAGATTCCTTTCAAATTGTCTTACAAAGATTCATTGCATCAAAATCCCCCCACACACATTTTCTTCTAACACAATATTTCCATGTAATAATAAAAATAAAAGATAAAAAAAAGAGAGAAAAAAATGGAAGAAGAATCCTCAGATCAAATCACAGCCCCTCTAAGTAAGGTTTAATTTTCCTTAATCTTTGTACGTATAACAAAACAATATATTTATCCTATTTTTTTTAATTTTTTGTTTGTTTGCAGTATCAAAGGAGGAAGATCGCAGCGGTGAATCGAGCAGCAGCAGCAGCAGCTCAAATGAAATCAACGGCGAGAATTCACCGATCGAGCAGGTGGCCCTCACGGTATCGACCGCAGACGATCCCAGCCTCCCAGTGCTCACATTCAGAATGTGGTTCCTGGGCACGCTGTCGTGCGTCCTCCTCTCCTTCCTCAACCAGTTCTTCTGGTACCGTACGGAGCCGCTCTCCATCACCGCCATCTCCGCCCAGATCGCCGTCGTCCCCCTCGGCCAGCTCATGGCGGCGAGGATCACCGACCGCTCGTTCTTCCGAGGGTCGCGATTCGAGTTCACGCTCAACCCTGGGCCGTTCAACGTGAAGGAGCACGTGCTCATCACCATCTTCGCCAACTCCGGCGCCGGCACGGTCTACGCCATTCACGTGGTGACAGCTGTCAAGATCTTCTACAAGCAGCACATCAGCTTCTTCGTTTCCCTCATTGTCGTTATCACCACACAGGTATATTATTAATATAGATATTAAAAATAATAATAATAATTGGCTAATTTATTTTTTCGGTAAATTATGAAAACTCCCCTGAACTTAGGTTAAATAACGAAAAACACCCGCACACATCCGTAATAACCAAAATTCCCTTCTGATTTGTTGATCGAGTTTTTTTTAACAAAAAATGCGTACAATCTATTATACCTTCTATTAAATAGGTGAGAAATAAAAGAAAATATCTGAAATTGTGTAAAGTCTATTCCTTGGAAAATCTGCGAAAAGTCAACTGTAATGCCTCGTTTAGTTGTCATGATAAGATTAACCAAAATAAGATTAAATAATCTAATAAGATCCAACTGTATTATTAGACCTTGGAATATCCAATAAATAACATGCTTATTAGGCAAGATAAACCATGATAACACAATATTTGCAGGTCGACCCGCCAAGTTATTAGAGATACCAAACATCAAACAAAGTCCAATTATTTAGTTAATAGTGGCTAATCTCCCCAACCAAACAAGTGTAAGACGGGAACAATCCTCATGAAGTTTTTGATAATTACGAATAGGTGGAGGTGGTTTTTTTAATTTAACCTAAGTTTAGGGGGTTTTTCATAATTTACCCTTATTTTTTTAATCACACGCAGTGGGAGGTGTGACTGTGTGTAAAAAATGAAAGTGTGATGAAAAATTTGAATGGTAGGTGTTGGGGTTTGGATGGGCTGGTATATACAGAAGGTATCTTGTGGAGCCAGCTGCTATGTGGTGGCCTGCCAATTTAGTACAAGTCTCACTCTTCAGGCTAGTTTTTTTCTTCTTTTTTTACTTTTATTTATTTATTTTCATTGAGAGAAAATAAAATTAAAATATAGTGTATATGATCAAGAAAATAAATTACTTCAATCCCATATTGAATTCTTGTTCTTTTCTTGTGATTAGTGATTACATGCCGTTGGATTTAATTTTTCGTTCAATCTTGTAATCGATATCGTTCAGTAGCGGAGCCAAGATTTTTGTATCTTCGGGCAAAATACGCATTAAATTTTTGTAGTGGTTGTGGTATTTATATATGGTACACCATTCGGAAAAAAATCACGATAAATTCTTATATAAACTAAGAGATTTTCGAAAATTAATTGGAGGGTACAGCCCCCTCGTGGCCTTATACTGGCTCTACCACTGATCAAACATTGTCGTATACGTAGAAGAATGCGACATATCTTATGAAATTTAAAATTATAGATCATGTCGAACAATGTAACTTTTATTTTCCCTAGTAATTCGATCGAATTTGTATCTAATTCAATCTGCCACGGATATGCTAAACAGGGCTCTCCACGAGAAAGACGAACGGGCGAAAGGCGGTGTGACGCGAACGCAGTTCTTCATCATCGCCTTCATTACTAGCTTCGCATACTACATATTCCCGGGCTATCTTTTCGAAATGTTGACCTCACTCTCATGGATATGTTGGGTCTTTCCCAAATCGGTTCTAGCCCAACAACTCGGTTCGGGCCTAAGCGGGCTTGGCATAGGAGCCATCGGGCTCGATTGGTCAACCATTTCGTCCTACCTAGGAAGCCCGTTAGCCAGCCCGTGGTTCGCAACCGCCAATGTGGCGGTCGGATTTTTCTTTGTTATGTACGTTGTGACTCCACTTAGCTATTGGTTCAACATCTATGACGCCAAAACTTTCCCTATATTTTCCGACGATTTATTCACTAGCTCGGGGCAAATATACGATATTTCTAGCATCGTTGATTCGAATTTCCACCTTGACAACGCTGCCTATGAGCGTGAAGGGCCTCTTCATCTTAGCACGTTTTTCGCTATGACATATGGGGTGGGATTCGCCGCGTTGAGCGCCACGATAATGCATGTGCTTCTCTTTCACGGAAGGTAATTAATACATTACAACCTTGTAAAAAGTTACGATACTTAGATCTTGTTTGTTTGGCAAGATAAACCATGATTAAGTAATCAATCGAGCCATATTAAAATTAGATATAATTTTATATCGGTTAATCGAACCAAACGAAGGATTAAGATATTGCATATAGCAAATGATCATACAATTAATTCATGTGCAGAGAAATATGGGAGCAGAGCAAATCGAGTTTTAGTGAAAAGAAAATGGACATACACACGAAACTGATGAGCAAGTATAGACAAGTACCCGAGTGGTGGTTTTGGGCGATTCTCGTGGTAAATATTGCACTAACTATCTTTGCATGCGAGTATTACAAGGAGCAACTTCAATTGCCGTGGTGGGGTGTCGTGTTAGCATGCGTAATCGCCATTTTCTTTACCCTCCCGATCGGAATCATTACCGCCATTACTAACCAGGTAATATAATCAACTCGTCCGTATCGTATCTATATACCCTTTTGCGACCATATATCAAATATATTAACATTTTCTTTTTCTTTTTTCGCGAAAATGAATTGATTTATTGAAAAGGATAGTCACCGGGATTGAACATCATCACGGAGTATATAATCGGATACATTTATCCCGGATATCCGGTGGCGAACATGTGCTTCAAGGTATATGGATACATAAGCATGACGCAGGCGATTACGTTCCTTCAAGACTTCAAACTCGGGCATTACATGAAAATTCCTCCAAGAACAATGTTCATGGCACAGGTCGGTATTCGAATCCAAACTCAATTGAAGTCGGTTTTCCTGCTTTTTTTTTTAACTTGTTAGGCCTTGTTTGGTTGCGCAAATATGTCATGATTAGGGTTGAAAATTGGAGCCGGATTTCCAGTTTTCGTCAGTTACGATCCGAAAAGTTCTAATTTGGGAACAATTTTATTTTCGATGATTTCCCAAAATTCTATTTTTTTCTATACCGGATTGGAATCAGAATTATATATAAAAGAAACACAATTTTCGATTTCTGATCCGATTATAACCAAAAATTCCTATTTCTAGTACGAGCGTCCGACTTTTACCCCTAGTCATGATTGATCAAATAATCAGTTCATATTTGTTGTTTGA